TGCCAATCATCCTCATGGTAGTATTCTCCAGAATTTGAAACTGATCCTGAGAAAATTGTAATATGAGTTTGGAGTCAGTAGATAATGCACTAACTGACAGCAAATTAAACTTGAATTGTGGCACATATAGGACATTATGCAACATCAGGTTGGTACCCAGCTTGACTTCACCACATAGATTCACAATTATCTTGGTATGATTAGGCAGAGTAATGCTGGCATTTTCAACTGATCTCAGATTAACGAAAGCCTCAGCATTACAGCAAACATGTTTAGTAGCACCTGAGTCTATTATCCAAATCTCCTTAGAAGCAAAAACAGGATCAACAGATATTGAGTGGCAAATACCTGCATTACCTGTAGTAGGCTGTTGTTTCTCGTGCTCAGTAGATTTCGTGCTTGAGTTCTGTGCTAAGTTGGACAACATGCTCATTAGTTGCTGATACTGATTTGTGTTTAGGTTATGCATAAATTCTCCTGCTGCAGATTGATTATCCAGATGTTGATTGATAGACATTTGATTGACATGAGTATTTGAAGAGTAGCCTTGACCATTTTCCCTGAATTTCGGTTTGAATCCAGGAGGATATCCATGTACTTTATAGCACTTATCAATAGAATGCCCATGGAACTTGCAATGAGTGCAATATGGTTTGTCCTTCCTCCTATAATTGGTCACACTTCCAGATCTGGATCCCTCATATCTAGAGTGATAATTCATCAGTGGTTTAGTATTATCAAATCTGGATCCCTCATATCTAGGAGTATGATTCATCAATGGTTTATTATTATCAGATCTGATAGAAAACGCTGCAGTAGTTCCACTAGAATTGTCATCTAAATTCTGTGTACTTATTTTCCTCTGATTTTCCTCTTGCACCATGAGTGCAAAGACCTTATTCACTGGTGGCATAGGCTCCATAAGAAGAACCTGGCCTCTTGCTTGGGAAAACGATTCATTCAATCCCATGAGAAAGGACATGATATATTCCATCTGATGATACCTGTTCATCTCCTTAACTCCACCACAGGTGCATTTACCACAATTGCAATTAGGTCTGAAATTGACTAATTCTTCCCATCCGGTCTTCAATTTTGTGAAGTAAACGCTGATTGAAGTCTGGTCCTGAGCTAAATTCATCAACTCCTTCCTNATTAGGTCTGAAATTGACTAATTCTTCCCATATGGTCTTCAATTTTGTGAAGTAAACGCTGATTGAAGTCTGGTCCTGAGCTAAATTCATCAACTCCTTCCTCAATTGGAAAATATGAGGTCCATTACTTTGTTGAAACCTCTCTTTGAGGTCGTTCCAGATCTCATGTGCAGTAGAAGCATAAATGATGCTGGCCGAGATCTCCTTCGAGACAGAGTTTAGTATCCAGGACATAACAATGTTGTTATTTCTGATCCACGAATTTGCTAACTCTGGATTCAAATCATCAGGTTTCTCCATAGATCCATCAATAAAAGCTACTTTATTCTTCACTGAAAGGGCGATTGTCATCGCACGGCTCCATGATGGATAGTTTTCACCGGTAAGCAACTGTGAAACAAGTACCGAACCAGGATTGTCAGAATGATTAAGGAAAAATGGGCTAGATGGCTCATCAATGGCTGTTTTTCCCAGAGATGATTGCCCATGGGTATTGATTTGATTATTCTCTGGATCCATACCAGCAGAATTTGAAACTGGAAGGGATTAAGAAAATCGAGATTCAGGGTTAAGCAGCACCCGCTCTGATACCATATTGAAGCTGAGAAGAGGAGCTAAAATTGGAGAAGATGAATACGCTTCATGCTGAATTAACTCGGTAGCCAAATGCTAAATAGTGCAAAACAGAAAATGGGCGGGAATTAAAATGACAGCTGGCACAACTAATTAACAGCAGGAAAAGGAAAGTAAACAAAGCTTAATCTCCTAATTATAGTAAGCTAGAAATAATCATTTCTAATAATAAAAGAGAGAAAACTAAAACAAATGCACCTCTCATCTTTGCAAAGAAACTGGGTGGATACATGCATTATTTCTATATGTATTAATATTGGAAATCACTGCATTAAATTCAGTACATTTTTATTAGAGAGACGCTTGGTGTACAACACTGGTGTACACCAAGTTATACAGCTCAGTCACAACAATAGTGGGCCCATGATTATAAAATAATCGTGGGGCCCACGATTGTGAGAGAGTTGTGTACAAGACTGTACACTAATGCTATATAAACAACTTTTTCCTTTTTATTACACAGTGATTATTCTAGTTTCCATCTATATATATTTTTAGTTGATTTAGTGGCTGAATATAAGGAACAAGATCCAATGGGTTGAGTAGTAGACTTGGTAAATTTATTTTATTACAGAATCATTGTATTTTCCTTTTTTAGAGTCTTATCTATTTTGCTGAATTGCAGTCTTCAATAGAAGTTATGAAAAGTTTAATCAAATAAATTATTCATTTTCTATCAAAATTTGTGTGTTTCTCCTTGGCCATTACATTACATACATCATCCTTGTATTGCAGTATAAGATATATAATACAGATTCTGAAACTTAAAAGGTTTTTCTTCTTTTATTTAAGCTTTGTAATGATTATAGTTATATTAAAAATATTTTATGATATAAATCGAGTTTAGGAAATATTTATGATGGCTAAATTAGGTAGGAAATGGTGTGTGAATAATTATTGCATTTATTATATCCAATTTAGTAATTATCAGGATATTAAATTAGATGTATGTTATTTAAATTAGTGATTACTATATTATTCAAAATAAACTCTATTGTAGGAATATAATTATGAAAGTAATATAACTCTCATATATGTGTGTGTGTAGTCACACACGATGGCCTACAAGTTGTACAATACGGAAAAAGTTTATCAAAATAATATGACTATAAACATTGTATTTGTTAGGCATAAATATCCCGCTTTGAATAAATATGAAATAAATATATAAAGATTTGTGTTAACCTTTTAACATGATATAAGAGCCGATTAAGCTCAAACGAGCAATTTGATTACTTTGAAGCTCAAACGAGCATTTAGAAGCCTTTAGAGGCTGTATATTATTTACCTTACAACAGTTTTTCCATGATATGAGCTTTCGAGTAATTTTCCATTTTTCCTTTTTCATCGAGGCAAAAAAATTTATATTACCATGCATGATTGTTTTGCTCAAAATTTAAAAGAAATAAAAAATATTTCTAGAAACAAGAAGAGAAACAAAAAAGAACAGGATTAAAATAAGTTTCTGGTGTTGTAATTATTTCAATAATCATGCTAAGAACAAGAATCATGTATTCTAAATTGGTAGATTAAAATTCATACACGAGGAAGATATTTTGTGTGTGTGAATATTACCAGTTAGATCTTCCTCTCCTTACTCCTCAAAATGATCAGCCGCCAATGAGTCAAGCCAAAAACATATGGAGAGGAGAGGGAACCTAGCCATTATATAGGAAATCATAAAGTCGGCCCATTATCGACTCAAACCCCAATTAAGGTTTACTTAATTCCGGTCCACATACTTAAAATTACCACATTATAATAATATAGCCCGTAAGGTGTACAACGGCCCAAGTGATCACTAACATATTGGGTCTAATCACAGTAT